GACGTTGTTTGAGGAAGAAGGGTGGAGGCAGGCGGGGTGTACTGGTTAGTTGTGTGGTCTCTACCTGGTGGTGGTGGTTGAGTGGCAGCATCTTCAGCAGCATGGTCAGCATCTTCATCTCCAGGATATTATTATTATTAACATCTTTATTGACAAAATTAATTACAATTTTGCCTAATCTGAGGATTTTGATACAGAGCATCTTTTTTATCGTGTTCAGCATCATCATTTAATAGCATTTTTGTTTTAATCTGCTCTCCATTCCTTCATCTTCTTGTTCCTTTCACTCATTCACTTTCGCTGCATTGTATACAATGCTACTCTCCTTTCCACACCTTTTTTTTCTTCACTTTCACCTTTTTCTTTCTGCCCCCCCCCCCTCCCCTTCCACTTCATCTAACACAGATTTTTCTCTATTCCTCCTACTTCTCTTCCACCTCCTCCTGTCCAACCACTTGGGATGGACGGTAGAGTGACACTCGCTTCATGCAGGTCGGCGTTCAATCCCCCCGACCGTTATCCTGATCCCTTCCAAGGGCTATATCATCGTAATGGTTTGATTGACGTTTTCTCTTGATAGTTCTCTTCCGCCTTCCTCCTCCTGCTCCTCCTCCTCTTGCTGCTCCTCCTCCTCCTCCTCCTGAGAAATGGACGATCACTCTTCCCTACGGACTCATCCACTATGTGAAATCTGATCTTCGTAGGAAATTTATTGCATTTATCGCTGCCTCTTTTTTTATCATATTTTTTCTCTTCTCATTCTACTCGTCTCTTCTTTTTTAGACCTTCGTCTCGGATATTTGTTAAATCTTTTCTAGCAGAACTTTTATATATTTGTTTTCTTTTCTCTTGTTTCTTTTTGTCTTTTGTTTTGCCATTTGTTCATGGTTGTTTGTCATTTTTTTCCCCAGCTGTTTAGAGCACAAATTGTGTGTGCTCACATAGATTTGCCTGCTGGGTCGAGCGCTAGCTCTCAAGCCTCGCTCTCTGGAGGTTTTGTAGTTGAATGCAAGAGCTTTGTGTCCTTACATGTTTACTTCTAAACAAAAAAAAATGAGTTTTCAGTGAACTATGAACATATGTTTGTCTGACAACTCTATAACACCAGTGAGGTGGTTTTTAGTACCTTTGTACTCGTATGACACGTGTTTCCGTGTGTTGTTATAGTTTCCGTATGTGTCTTTTAGTTTCTATGTCTGTAGTGTCCATCTGTGTCTCCAGTTTCCATCTGTGTCTCCACTTTCCATCTGTGTCTCCAGTTTCCATCTGTGTCTCCAGTTTCCATCTGTGTTCTATTGTTCGCTTATTTCTAGCTGTGAGCAGTGCTTCTTTATCTATTTTATCACTTCTTCTTTGTGTCTCGTATGTCGTTATTAAGTGTAGATCGGTTCCCTCAGTCGTTCCTCATAGTTTCTCATCCCTTCAGCCCCGGAACGAGTCTTGTTGCATGCCGCTACGTCTTTTATTTTCTAGCTTTGCGTCTTTTCTAGGTTTGCCAAGAGCTTTTCAGTTTGATATTCTATGCCAGGAAGCAGGGGGAGGGGGGGGGGCATACTCATGAGTGAAGTATTACTAGGCCTGAAAATTCAGTTTTGAGGCTCGTGTGTGTGTGTGTATGTGTGTGTGTGTAACAAGAACAGTATGCCAGGCTCAGGCTGAACATGGGATTATATTTCACGCCATGACTTATCTCTTCCTCTTAATTATTACTTCTCTCTCTTAGTTATTACAAGCTATCTCTCATTATACTCCCTTTACCGCTTTCCCTCTCCCTCATTTTCCTATTTCCTTCCCCTCACTTCTTTTTCTACACCCCCCCCCCCCCACCCTTCTTCTTATTTTGTCTTCCTCCTTGCTTCCTTTTACTAAGCCATTCGTTTCTCCAAATAATTTTTACGTTTCACTCACTTCTCTTTTCTCTCAATATTTTCCCGTAATCACTCCTCTCTCTCTCTCTCTCTCTATCACTTGTACTCCATTACTCTCCTTACGTCCTCTATTTTATCCTCTTCTTGTTCCTTCTCCATCCCCTCTCCTCCCGTCCCATGATCATCCACCCATCCCCTCTGCCGTCTCCTCTCCCTCATCAAGATGCAAGCAGCAGCCTCCCGTCAACATAAGATGCAAAACAAACAAACAGCACAAACAACAATAGCTCGTTGGGGCCATCCGGGTGGTCAACTTTCTAAGATATATTTCGAGGAGTCGAACTTAAATCATAATCGCTGGTAGTATTCTGAGTTGTAACTCAAGTTGGCGAGCTTAAATCACACACACACACTGACTGGTAGTACTTCAAGTGGTGTATCTCAACTTTGCCGAACTTAAATCGCACCCAAATTAGTTGTTGCTTAAGCGTAGGTTAGACATATATGAATGACACTACACTACACTACACTGCACTACACTACACTACACTGCACTACACTACACTACACTACACTACACTACACTACACTAAACTGCACTACACTACACTACACTACACTACACTACACTACACTAAACTGCACTACATTACACACATGAATGAATGAGTTTTGGGGGTGGATATAAATAGGAGCTGCCTCGTGTGTTTAAAATAGGCCTTCTGTTGTATTTCGTAATTCTTATATGTTCGTGTGTATGTATTAAATCTTAATCTGGGTTACACAGGCGTTTTTCGAACATTAATCGTGTTTGTTGTGTGTGTACACATTGCTAAGTGTATACATTTACGTATATATATATATGCTTTTGAAGTCCAGATCTTCTCCTTTCTGGTCAGCCAGTCGGTCTGTCAGTCATGTAATGCAATAGCTGTGTTTGTTCAGCTGGATGCATTCACCTACATGTGCTTACAAGTGCGTTGCAGGATCCGGCTTCGGACCTGCTGGTGAATTGCACGAATCTTATCTCATTCGTATTGGAAGTTGTGTACATAGTTCTCTGTCTTAAGATGTGTGCATAGTTTAGTTCTTTGTCTTAAGCTGTGTGCATAGTTTAGTTCTCTGTCTTAAGCTGTGTACATAATTTGATTTTCTGTCTTAAGCTGTATAAGAAGTTTTCTTCTCTGTCTTAAGCTGTGTAAAAAGTTTACTTATCTGTCTTCTTTTTATATCACGTTTCGTTTGTTTGTAATTTAATCTAAACTAATTTTTCTTGGAGTGTCTGTGGTATATTTTATCTCTCTAGTTTCCAGCATTTTTCTCCCTTTCCAATATTTTCTTTACAATCTTGTTCGTCGCTGTCATGTCTTCCCTATTCCTTTTATTCGTTGTGGCGATGAATAGTTTTCTAGGCCTTTCACTCTAGTTCAATTTCAATCCACACATTTGCGGGACAAGCCTTGAGGTATATATGCTTTTTTTCTAATTTTCTTTCACGTTTCTTCGGATACAGATTCTAAGCCCTGGCTGCATGCACGAAAGCCGTTCTGACATACGTGGGACACATAGGCTTCCTTATCTGGCTTCCTGAACACTATTACTATTGACATTTTCTTGAGGCAGGGTAATATAATTCAATTCATACCTACAGTCTCCCAAGACACACGCAGCACCTTCTGGACCATGATGAGCTCCAGGAATGTTTTAACTAGAAGTTCCACTTGTCTGTCTTGAAGCTTGGAGTGGGAACTTTCCGTTACCACAAGCTTGGCTTAATGTCTTCCTCCAAATAATAAAAAAATTATTGTGATTTCCTGGTGGAATCTGTGTTATAGCCCGAAGGAATATTAAAATATAATTAGATAGCTCTCAACTCAAATTACTAAGGCCAAACAAGGTATAAGTTATGGTTGTGTTTGCTCGGGTTGTGTGCGAGGCCCCCAACCATGCACGCCTTGTATCGACCCGTCCTCCTAATAGAACGTCGCATTTTGACGAACACTCTACCTAAGGCCAATTAAGAATTGTCGGACTAGAAAATAGTTGCAGCTCACGAAACTGACATACTGTCCCGTTTTCTGTTCAGAGTTTTCCAGTATGTTACGACAAGGGGCCCTTTAGTACGCCAGTTTCTTGACGTTGGGGAGTCCTTAGGAGGACGAACTGTGGTGTATGTAGCCTTAAGGTAGTTGGCGTTTCACGACATGACGTCTGGAAGTGGCTTGTATCACCGACCAGAGTGACGGCAAGCCCGACCTGAAACACAATTAGTGGGACTCGGGAAGAGCGGGATATACAGGGTGTAGGTGAAGGGAATCTGTTAAATAGGGCAACACGGGGGGCAGATGGAAGTAAAAATGAGTAAGAATATATACTGATATGGAGCATTGGAGGTAAACTAGTGTATTGGGAGGGGAAGTAAACACTAGTACTGGGAGAGGAGGTATACTAGTGTACTGGGAGAGGAGGTAAACTAGTGTACTGGGAGGGGAGGTAAACTAGTGTACTGGGAGGGGAGGTAAACTATTGTACTGGTAGGGGAGCTAAACTAGTGTACTGGGAGGGGAGGTAAACTAGTGTACTGGGAGGGGAGGTAAACTAGTGTACTGGGAGGGGAGGTAAACTAGTGTACTGGGAGGGGAGGTAAACTAGTGTACTGGGAGGGGAGGTAAACAATCTACCTACCTTCTTGTCATAGCATCACCAAGGTTTGCCATCAAGTTCAACTGCGAACCAGATGTTGTCCCGTGTCAGGACTGAAAGCTTCTGGCACAGAAACAAAAACCACACACGCGAACAAGGGGACACAGGTGGAGACTGAGTACCCACATGAGCCACAGAGACGCTAGAAGGAACTTTTTCAGTGTCAGAGTAGTTAACAGGTGGAATGCACTAGGAAGTGATGTGGTGGAGGCTGACTCCATACACAGTTTTAAATGTAGATATGATAGGGCCCAGTAGGCTCAGGAATCTGTACACCAGTTGATTGACGGTTGAGAGGCGGGACCAAGGAGCCAGAGCTCAACCCCAGTAAGCACAACTAGGTGAGTACAACTAGGTTAGTACACACACACTCAACCTGACAAAAACCAGACAACTTCAGAGAAAGGAAATTACCTAATCCTGGACCGTCTAATCATAGCGTCGAAACACAGACTGAAACACTGGTCGCTTGACTCTGAAAATATTATAACTTTGGTGGGGGAAAAAATAACTAATCTCAAAATGTCATCTCTGGCAGCTTCTTATTAAGCTCGTTTACTCAACCTCTTGGAGACGATGACTTAACCTCTTGGGAAATATTACACCCTCCTGGGGACACGACTCCACCTCTTGAAGAAGATGACTCAACCTCTTGGGGCAGATGACTCCTATATCTTGAGTTACATGATTAAACTCCTTAAGTGAAAAGTCTCGACCCTTTGAATTTGATGTTTTAATAACTTAATTCCTTGATGGAGATATCCACTTGATTATTGTAACTTAACCAGGTCACCGAACCCTTTGGAAATGATGACTACCATTAAGTACAGTGAAGTAAATTTCTTAAGTACGCTGATTTGTTTACTTAAGATATTGTAGCCTTTGAGGTTCTGTGTCATAACATTTTGAAGAAATTCATGTCATAACCCAGAATAAATTGACCACAAAATAATACAAAAAATTAATAATTTTGTCAAAAGAACTTAAACTTATGTGTATAATATCTAAGATGAATTAAACTCAATGATTTTGTCCAATCAGTATTATTCAGGAAGAAAGGGAGGGGGGGTTACCTATAACAAGCCGCCGGCTTCCTGCCCCTCGTCGAGACTATTATAAAGATGGTGATCTTCACGTAAACGGCTAAAAAACGTAACTCTTTTAAAACAATGACTTAACCATCTTAAGTTCGACAAGGTAACCATTTGAATCCCCCCTCCCTTGAGATAACAACTTCATTGAGTGCCATCATTAACCCCTTAGATTACGATAGTTAATCTCTTAAGTGCGATAATAAACCTCTCTGTGAACCCTCTGAGTACGATCAGTAAATTTCATTGCATACCTCCACTTACCTCCGTTGATTACGGTACATTAATCCCCCTCATGGTGAGAGTCGCTATCAACGATATCTTAAAGCTATAGCGTATCTGAACCCCATGTGATGTACCCGAAGCACTAAATGATTCTCAAAACTCCCAACAACCCAGATGGGAACGTTAGCTCACCTGGCACGATAGCTTCTGTGCGCTATCTCCCACCGTGGGGGAGGGAGGGAGGGAGGGTGCTGGAAAATGCAGCAGATAACAAGCGTATAATCCTAAATTGTTCGAAATTGAGAGAATTGTGCAGGAGGCTTCGTGTCATGGCGATTGACAGTGAGTGGAAAATACGCAGGTGAGACAATCAGTGGAATGAGTTCCAGAGAAAAAACAAACAAATGTGCCCATTATGTGCCTCTGTAACCCTTTCCACTACCGCCCACAAGATGGGTATGGGGTGTATAATAAATGAACTAAACTAACTAACACAGGTTCGCCAGTGCATGTAATTGTATACATTTTTTCGAGTGTATACACGTTCACATGTATGAGTCTTGAGCATACGTGCCCTCAAGGGTTCACATCCGAATGAATGCATTCGTGTCAGTAACCCTGAACACATGCGTGCACTGAAGACCCCGACACACGCCAACACCGTCACGAAGTTCTACAGTGAACCACAGTAATTGTACAGGTAAATGCAGATGATTAAATATCGTCTTAACCATGAGAGAGCGAGAGCTGCAAACGAGGGCAATTGCTGTGACCGCTTATATATATATATATATATATATATATATATATATATATATATATATATATATATATATATATATATGTCGTACCTAGTAGCCAGAATGCACTTCTCGGCCTACTATGCAATGCCCGATTTGCCTAATAAGCCAAGTTTTCCTGAATTATTATATTTTCTCTATTTTTTTTCTTATGACATGATAAAGCTACCCATTTCATTATGTATGAGGTCAATTTTTTTTATTGGAGTTAAAATTAACGTAGATGTATGACCGAACCTAGCCAACCCTACCTAACTTAACCTAACCTATCTTTATAGGTTAGGTTAGGTTAGGTAGCAGAAAAAGTTAGGTTAGGTTAGGTTAGGTAGGTTAGGTAGTCGAAAAACAATTAATTCATAAAAACTTGGCTTATTAGGCAAATTGGGCCTTGCATTGTAGGCTGAGAAGTGCGTTCTGGCTACTAGGTACGACATATATATATATATATATATATATATATATATATATATATATATATATATATATATATATATATATATATTAATATATATATATATATATATATATATATATATATATATATATATATATATATATATATATATATATATATATATATATATATAGCCCTGATTGTATGGGTGGAAAATACAAACTACGTGATTCAATAGTCTGAAAAAACAGGAATGTAGCACAGTAGCAATGATCCACCATAAACCTCTATAGGACTTTCGTTGAGCTCCGGAACCAATGCTTATGGGATAGAATGGGGAATCAGGCACAGGAGCCAGATTCACGAAGCAATTACACAAACACTTACGAACCTGTACATCTGTTAACAATGTTTGGCGGCTTTGTTTACAATTATTAAACAGCTAATGAGCTCCGAAGCACCAGAAGGCTGTTTTAAACAATAACAACAGCTGACTGGGAAGTTTTCATGCTTGTAAACTGTTTAATAAATGTAACCAAACCCGTCAAAGATTGAGGAAAGATGTACACGTTCGTAAGTACTTGCGTAACTGCTTCGTGAATCAGGCATCAGGAATCGCCTGATAGTGTGGGTGGGGGGCGGTGGGGTGTGTGTGTGTTTAGGAGTCAGCCAATAAGGAGATGGGAGTGTCTGGTTTGGTGCCCACCCCGGCAGATCAGTTAGGTCAATGGCAAGCTCCTTGTATAGTTATTACTCACCAGGGGTTAGGGCAGGTGCTGCATGTAGAGGAAATGGTCGAGACTATGCAGTGGGATTGGCCATAAGAGGAACCACCGTGAGAGCTCTGGCAGTTTAGTTTATGGCAACCCATCCTCCTATTTAGATAGCATATTTTGCCTCTATCTGGACCATCCTCTATACAGAGACGTAATTGCCAATTAGTAGAACTTTGGTACTATTCAATTTATAGTCTGGGGAAAAAATAAAGCTAAAAACCAAACTTCAATATTCCTAGGCCTAGTATAGCACATATATGTACTATATTAGGCCTCAGATAGCGTGTATTTGGCCTAGGAAAGATGGGTTAGGTTAAGTTTTCTTTGCAAGGTCAATACAAAACCTTTTCCACTTTGTCCAAATTCAATGGTACCGATTTTGACTTTCTAACTGCCTTTTACGTCAATATATGTACGATGGTTCTCGTCGTTATTTTAAGTACTTCCTAAACAGGAGGGCAGGTTGTTTGTGGGGCAGGTGTGGCTGACTTCCTCTTGATACCAGTGGCTGGCTTCCTCTTGATACCGGTGGCTGGCTTCCTCTTAATACCGGTGGTTGGCTTCCTCTTGATACCAGTGGCTGGCTTCCTCTTGATACCGGTGGCTGGCTTCCTCTTGATACCGGTGGTTGGCTTCCTCTTGATACCGGTGGCTGGCTTCCTCTTGATACCGGTGGCTGGCTTCCTCTTAATACCGGTGGTTGGCTTCCTCTTGATACCAGTGGCTGGCTTCCTCTTGATACCGGTGGCTGGCTTCCTCTTGATACCGGTGGTTGGCTTCCTCTTGATACCGGTGGCTGGCTTCCTCTTGATACCAGTGGCTGGCTTCCTCTTGATACCGGTGGCTGGCTTCCTCTTGATACCAGTGGCTGACTTCCTCTTGATACCGGTGGTTGGCTTCCTCTTGATACCTGTGGCTGGCTTCCTCTTGATACCGGTGGCTGGCTTCCTCTTGATACCGGTGGCTGGCTTCCTCTTGATACCAGTGGCTGGCTTCCTCTTGATACCGGTGGCTGGCTTCCTCTTGATACCAGTGGCTGGCTTCCTCTTGATACCGGTGGCTGGCTTCCTCTTGATACCAGTGGTTGGCTTCCTCTTCATACCAGTGGTTGGCTTCATCTTGATACCAGTGGCTGGCTTCCTCTTGATACCAGTGGCTGGCTTCCTCTTGATGCCAGTGGTTGGCTTCCTCTTGATACTAGTGGTTGGCTTCCTCTTGATACCAGTGGCTGGCTTCCTCTTGATACCAGTGGCTGGCTTCCTCTTGATACCAGTGGCTGGCTTTCTCTTGATACCGGTGGTTGGCTTCCTCTTGATACCAGTGGTTGGCTTCCTCTTGATACCAGTGGCTGGCTTCCTCTTGATACCAGTGGCTGGCTTCCTCTTGATACCAGTGGCTGGCTTTCTCTTGATACCGGTGGCTGGCTTCCTCTTGATACCACTTGCTTGGTTGTGGTTTATGTAGAGAGAAAATAAGAACAAACGGCATGTAGAGAAAAGAGAAAGGATGAAGTACAGAGAGGAGTTGAAAAGTGGGAGGAGAAAGGTGCTAAGAATTAAGATAAGGGAAAGAGAGAGAAAGTTAAGAAAGAACCGTAGAACGGAGCTAGGAAATTAGAGTTAGTAGGAGGAAAACCGGAAGGAGTAAAGACATGTGGGAAAGAGAGAGAGGAGATAGAGTAGAGAAGAGATGCCAGTGATAAAGAAAACGGCCATATCCATCTTATAAAAATAAATATTAAATGGAATCTCTTTCCCGGTTATCTCTTAGTGATGAGGACATTAGTGATAAGATATCTCATAGTGATTAACGCATCAAACATTGAAGTAAAGCATATTAACTTCAAGGACTTGTTCTTTAGCAAGAGACCGTCAGATGAGGCCCTTCAGTCTACCTCACACCGCGTGGCTTTAGTTTATGGTAAAAATAAGTTTGCCTTAGCTTTTATGTTAATGTTTATGGCTTTACAATAAATCCAAGATCTCAAGGTATCAGATTTAAGGGCAATTATTCACAAATTAATGATTGACATTTGTGTATATTTGGTATGATGATTTAGCAATATAAATAAATATATATATATATATATATATATATATATATATATATATATATATATATATATATATATATATATATATATATATATATATATATATATACCATTCTTTACTGATACATATCAACTGGGACTGAGAGGGGGGTACCACAGGGGGTGAGAGAGATGTACCATAAGGAGTGAGAGGTACCACAGAGAGTGAGAGGGGTACCACAGGGAGTGAGAGGGGTACCACAGGGAGTGAGAGAGGGTACCACAGGGAGTGAGAGAGGGTACCACAGGAAGAGAGAGATGGGAGTATGGGAGGCAGCTTGCGTGTTGAGACTGGGTGTTGCGGTTACCCGCTCTAATGGGTAATGGGGGACGAGCGGGCAATAAAGGGTGTTGGGGATGAGTCAAGGAACCGGAACGGGATTAGGGATGAGGAGGACGGCCTTCGGGATGAGGATTGGACCGAGATGGGGGTCGGGTAGCCGGGTGGGAATGGACCGGAGAATTGGTATGGGACTAGGCCGAAATAGCATTCAGGAGATCCAAAGCGTGTTTAGAAGGCCTGGAAATGCTTTCGGGGAAGTCAGAAACAAATGAAGAGTGTCCAAGAGGCACCGAGGAAAGCGAGATGATTTAAGTAGTTTCAAAACGCGACGCGAGATCTGACATGTGTTTTACGGAGTCTAAAACTGTGAGCTGCATTCGCAGCTTTGTTTTGGTGTGTTTGACATATGTTTTTTGTGTGTTTTGTGACACGTTACGTGTGGATGTGAGAGACGTGTTTGGCTGACCTCATAAACACTGACCAGATGTTAACCCAGCCATCGACCGCCTTTGTTTATGAGAAATGAAAATGAGAAATATTTCTCATTCTCATTATGAGAATAAGAAATACTTGACACACATGATGCACACCTGTCCTCGGTCCGGTACTGGTCTCATGGTCCTTAGTACTGTCCTCGTGGTCCCTAGTACTGTCCTCGTGGTCCCTACTACTGTCCTCGTGGTCCCTAGTACTGTCCTCGTGGTCCCTACTACTGTCCTCGTGGTCCCTAGTACTGTCCTCGTGATCCCTACTACTGTCCTCGTGGTCCCTACTACTGTCCTCGTGGTCCCTAGTACTGTCCTCGTGGTCCCTAGTACTGTCCTCTGATCGGCTAGTTACTCTGAAGGGACAGAACATGCCGTAACGCACCTTTCTCGGTGATGTACGAACCGCAAGTGAGGTCACCCAGCCAATCACAGTGCCGGACCTGGTGACGTGAGGCCTACCTTGCCACCCCCTATTGGTCCCCACAGTTGATTGATTGATTGTTTGGCGTCAGAGGTGGCTAGTTTATTGTGCACCCCATACTCATTCCTTGAGCGATAGGGCAAAAAGAGGATTACAGAGGGCACAAAAGGTCTTTATCCAGCTTTATCAGACCTCAGCGGAGATTATTACATTAACAATTACATCTGTCCTTCACACCCTATAATTATAATGTCAGCTAGTTACAGAGAATGTTCCATTTCAAAAGCTATTTACAGTTAATCATTATACGTTAACAGTAGATCGTTTCGGTAATAGACCGTTCAACACGCTTCCGCTACACATATGGGGCATAACTGGCCGACCACTCACAGTGTTCCAAAGAGAACTTGATAAGCATCTCCAAATAATACCTGATCAACCAGGCTGTGATTCATACGTCAGGCTGCGAGCAGCTGCATCCAACAGCCTGGTTGACCAGTCCAGCAACGAGGAGGCCTGGTCGAGGACCGAGCCGTGGGAACGCTAAGCCCCGAAGCCATCTCAAGGTAGGTTATCTTGAGATGATTTCGGGGCTTTAGTGTTCCCGCGGCCCGGTCCTCAACCAGGCCTCCACCCCCAGGAAGCAGCCCGTGACAGCTGACTAACACCCAGGTACCTATTTTACTGCTAGGTAACAGGGGCATAGGGTGAAAGAAACTTTGCCCATTGTTTCTCGCCGGCGCCTGGGATCGAACCCAGGACCACAGGATCACAAGGCCAGCGTGCTGTCCGCTCGGCCGACCGGCTCCAGGTAAGGTACATAATTGTATGAGCTATGGAGATATTACAGTCATAGAGGAGCTGCTGTTTGCTATGACTAGTCTTCACATAACACTACTTGCTTCTTCATCTCATATGTCGTTTATCTACTTGAAGAGAAATATGGATACAGTGCAAGGATTTCAGATATTGTATCCTGAGTAATAAGATGGTTTGCCATTTCATATAACGTAAGTTTAGGTTTATCTCTAAATGGCTCAGTTTTATTGCAGTCTAGGATATAATGCTCTAGTGTGTGTCCCTGTATTTGTCCACACACTTTGCATTTACTTAATCTAGATCCCTATACAAGCAGAACTGCCAGAGATACTTGTAGCCAAGTCTTATTAGAGCTGTGACAACGCCTGTTAGTCTGTTCATTATGTTACTTGCCCCATACACATATTTTGTTTGACACATTTCATTGTGACGAACAATGGACTTGGCAATTTCAGTTTGCACTGTTCTGGGTTCTTCCAATTCATCCAAGAGTTCTCGTCTGATAACACTTTTAAGGCACCTATTTGACAACTCAAGATTCCCTTCAACATTGTCTTTGTGGGGTTTATATTTTATGACTCCCAAAAATAAAGATCTCACTACTAACATAACATCAAACTTAGCTGTCTACAGTGATCTTAGTCACATCCAGTGGCCACTAGGAACCTGCTGCTTTCTTCATGGAGTGCATGTGGTATCTCACTGTTCCCTTGGTGGCCCAGTTTCAGGGTGTTCCAGCAGGAATGGTGCGGCTTCCATTTACCTGTAGGATGAAAATTATCACTTTACCACTTGGTCAAATACAAATAATGCAGATAGCACAGATATGGGTATAAATTATTTTAGCCCTATAATTTTTCTCTGGTATCTTGACACGTATGAAATATATTATAAACAATGAGAAGATTGGTTATTTAATTCATTATTGCTATGAATTTATATATTGCAAATGTATACTTTAATTTATCATTAAACAATTGCAATATATCAAATATTTATTTGTTAAATATTGGTTAACCTCGTTAGTCAATTTATAATAAAGTAACAAGTAAATTACTTACTAACGTGGGCTCTTAAACCCGAGGTATAACCGCACCTGCCTTTAATGGGGTTAGTAGCACAAACATATTAAATCCAAATTTCTCATAACACCACCTACCTCCTTTATTTTATTAATATGCAGGTATGGAGCTTGCAGTCTTATTTTGCTAAGATTTAACCCTCTTGTTAGGCCAGAGTGTGTAGTGTTGTTTACTACCGTTGTTGAAGTGGGGTTGTAATGGCCTCTGGAAGCTCCATCAGCTGTTGGCTTCAGCTGTAGTCGAGTAGCACTATTTCTCCTCACAGTTTCATTACATTTCACGCTCCTAACGTTTATAAACAGTGTGAACACTTTGTTTTATGTGTAGTTTTCACCACTATATAAAGGTCAATAGATGTAAAACAGCAGCAATTACGCAGCTTGTATATCTGAGGAGTGTCTTCATGTAGTGGAGGAGTTCTGTTTACTGTAGCGACAGCGTCCGGACACTCATGCGATCCACTCCCCAGGGCAGGTTATAGTTACCATACCTGTTTTAAGGATTAATTTATATTATAGTTAATCAAACGTATTTGGTTAAACAATTATTTATTGAGTATATGTATTTATTTTGGAGTATTTCCGTGATATGCTAATAGCTATTAGATGTAATTACATATCCTGGTATGGATCCATTAAAGATGATTGTGATTGTGTTTACAAAATGGTTGCTATAAGCTTTTTATGCTTTTATGCGAAATATGCTTTTAAAAACCGTAAATGGTTTTTATGTTCTTATGTACTTGATCTTGGGAGAGTTTGACTAGTTCTGTAAATAGCCACGTCTGGTCCATCTGTGTTATCATAGACCATGTTTCTCAAACATGTTATATTTGTATAACATCAATTTTCGTGGAAATTTTCCACATCTTTTATTCACTGCAACGTTAGCAAGGGCGCCAACGTTATCATGTTCCTGCAGGTCAATGTCAGAGGGAATCCTCAACATTTTGGTGTTTAACCCCCCCCCCTCCCTTATTAAGTATGCTTATATATCTGTGTTTGGCTTCGGAGACAAGCACGTTATTACTTGATTGTAAACGATTTATTGCTAGAAGTGAGGACAGGGAGTTAGAAATAATTCAGCTGTCTACTTCACAGTGTGTCACGCAAAGACCAAAGCATCGTCGTCTTCTGGTGATGTCACAGCTTAGCCGAGCGCCATCTTGCTTGTACAAAGATCTAGCACGAAAAAAATAGAATGTTGGTGAAGAAATGTTACAATGTACTGCAGTATCACAGTGCATTGACTTTATTCCAGATAATCTCAACATCGATATCAACTACTACTTTGAATTTTCCTGTTACTTATTTTAACTTACGTTTCTACCTGTATCCTTGTTTACTGAGTCAATATCCCTAAGTATTTTGTATGTTGTGACCATGTCTCCTAAGTTTATTTTTCTCTTCCAGTAATGTTAGATCTAATTTTTTTTAAGTTTATGTGTTAGTGCAGTAACGAGGCCTTGTCGAGGACCGGGCCGCGGGGACGCTAAGCCCCGAAAACACCTCAAGGTAGTAGTATGAGTTTCGAAATGTAATGAAATCATCGTTTTCACAGTGAATCTGGACCAAGATTTCAGAATCTAGGTGATGCATTTTTGGGGATTTGGTTGAATTGCAGTCCCAAACCTGCTTGTTATAATGGGGAGGAGTTATGAGGGGTGATTATTGAACGTCCCGTCCCGTGTTCAGCCCCATCCATCCCCACACCTCCTCTCCCTGAAGTCGTAGTAATTTCCCCATAATTTCTTGATCGTTAATTTAACGCGCTGGTTATTCTCGCCCTCCCCTGTCTACCCTTTCTTTGCATTACATTATTCCCCTCTATCATGCTTCGCTGTGCACCGATATATCCCCCCCTTGTCTGATTTCATTCTCTGTGAAATTGACGAGAATTAAGTATGGGTTTGTCTTTAAATTTAATTGAACTTCTTCAATATTTACGTTCTTAGTTTCTTAATTCTCTCTCTCTTCTCTCTCTCTCTCTCTCTCTCATCTCTTAGTCTCTGCTCTCTCTCTTCCTCTCTCTCTCTCTCTCTCTCTCTCTCTCTCCTCTCCTCTCTTCTCCTCCTCATCCTCTCTATCCTCCTCTCGTCTCTCCTCTCATCTCTCTCTCTCCCTTGTCCTCTCTCTCCTCTCTCTCTCTCTCTCTCTTCTCTCTCTATCTCTCGTCATCTCTCCTCTCTCTCTCTCTCTCTCCTCTCTCTCTCTCTCTCATCTCTCTCTCTCTCTCTCTCTCTCTCTCTCTCCCTCTCGCTCTCTCTCTCTCTCTCTCTCTCTCCCTACTCTCTCTCTCTCTCTCTATCTCTCTCTCTCTCTCTCTCTCCTCTCTCTCTCTACCTCCCTCTCTCTCCTCTCTCTCTCTCTCTCTCTCTCTCTCTCTCTCTCTCTCTCTCTCTCTCTCTCTCTCTCTCTCTCTCTCTCTTCCTCCCTCTCTCTCTCTCTCTCTCTCTCTCTCTCCTCTCTCTCTATCTCTCTCTCTCTCTCTGCTTCTCTCTCTCTCTCTCTCTCTCTCAGTAAGAGGAAGATAGCAGTAAGTGTGGAAGGAGCAGCATACGACGCCTCCAAGCACAGACCACATGAGTCCTTCACACGAGCTTCAAGACGACCTGAGAACCTCTTATCGCCGAACACCATCACCACTTACGTCTTATCGGCGGGAACACGGCCCTTAAGATTAGAACACGTCAGGACGGCCATCATCTCCAGTAAAGAGACAAGCGCATTCCCTCCTTTCTTGTCGTGTTTGCTGTGTGTGTCGTCTGGGTTGTTGTCCGTGTGTGTGTGTGTGTGTGTGTGTGTGTGTGTGTGTGTGTGTGTGTGTGTGTGTGTGTGTGTGTGTGTGTGTGTGTGTGGTGCGTGTGTTGCGTTGTGTGTGTGGTGTTGTGTGTTTGGTGCATCGGCACGCTGTGTTTCATGTACTCACCTACATGCTCTCACCTGCATGAACCCACCTGCATGCACTGAACTCCCGCAGGGCTCAGTCCTTGGACCTATACGGATTCTTATATATATATGTAAATGATCTTCTAGATGGTATAGAATC